TAAGTTGTTGTTGTTTTCTTTTGTTTTTTTTTTTTTAAAAAAAAGCTAGCAAGAAACAAGCCTAAGCTAGACTGAGTACTCACAATTAATAAGTCTCCATGTCATGACTTGGGGGCTGGTGGTCTACTGTGGGACAATGGTCTTGTACCCTGTAAAGATCTGTCGCTTGTATTGGTTTAATAAAACACTGATTGGCCAGTAGCCAGGCTGGAAGTATAGGTGGGGTGACCAGACAGGAAATATAGAGGAAGGGCTCAGTCTGCAGTCGTCACTCAGACACAGAGGAAGAAAGATGAGAACGCCTCCCTGATAAAAGGTACCAAGCCACGTGGCTGATACAGACAAGAATTATGGATTATGTAAGATGTAAGAATTAGTTAATAAGAAGTCTGAGCTAATAGGCCACCAGTTTATAATTAATGTAGGCCTCTGTGTGTTTCTTTGGGACTGAATGGCTGTGAAACCATAGACAGAAACCTCTATCAACAGTGGTCCAAGAAAGCATGCTACATTTAATGCCCAATGTAGGCATGTATTTCTATGTAGGGCCTGAGAGAGCTGGGGAAAAACTGACATGGCTTCCTAGTAGCCCAATGCTCATAACACACAGGGGCCCAGCTCTGCTGCACAGAGAGCACTGCAGTGGAGAGAACAAGCTGAGCAAGAATGCCTGCACCATCTTCCTAGAGCCGCGTGGTTATATGCAGCTCTCCGGTGAACCCTCTAAAGAGAGAGTAAAGTACTATAAGAGAAAACAGTCACGTGAATATGGGGAATACACAGGGTGCCTCCATCCTGGTGTTGTGTTGACTTGGAATTCTTGAATGCTAATCAGTTAATGACAGCTCCAGAGTGGTACTGGATGGTAAAGGGACTGCTGAGTTACCCGGCCTACACACACTAAGGATGTCTGAACTTAAAATGGAATTCCAGAAAATGTATTGCATTGAGTGGATTCATTCAAGGTTAACAGAGATCAGATTTGATTGGGAGAGACCTCCTGAAAATCTGGCTACAGAAATAAAGGAATAACCAGGAAAATCTACAAGAGAGCTGACATATATGCTGAGCTTCTGCCTGTGAACAGTTCACAGTAGGTTTCTCAGGACGCGACCAATGTCTCAACTTTCTGAGTCCCCCGGAGATGCCGTCAGCCCAGAAAACAGAAGCAGGCTAGAGAATACAGTGTCCACGTTCCCAAGAGGTGGGATTGGTGGTTTCTGGTAAATTTGGTGGGTTATGGACATTTGTCATTATTTAGTGGGGATAGGAATATAGGATAGAAAGGAAACGCTTCATCTCAAATATTTTATATTGATATGGACTATTGTACATTGATACAAATTTCAGGTTAACTTTGTTCTACCATATATATGTTCCTACTCTTGTTTAAGGTACTGTACCTATGCAGCTCATTTAAAAATGTAATGTAAAGTTCTAGTTCTTGAAAACTATTATTACAAACTGGTTAGGATAATTTTTTTTAAAAAATGCAAGTTAGTAGTTAGTCATCTATAACAACCAAACTTGTAGTCATGTTAGCTATGTTTTCAAGGTCAAACAGAGATATTTTAGATAGGTGACCTTCAAATGCTTCAGAGACCTACAAATACAGCATTTAAGATGCTTAATAACCTAAGGCTTTTCATGACAGTGAGACACATCTGCTCCTGGCAGCACCAATCTACTTCATGAAAAGATTATGGATGTAAAAGAACCTCTATGTGGAGCTTGCTTTCATTGTGGCAAAGCTGGCCATTTGGGCAAGAAACTGCCCTTGCCTCAACTGCTAACAGTATACTGTACAAACTGGACAAACAGGACACAAAGGAAAAAGATTGCCAAATATTTCTAAGAGAAGGTGGAACAGTCCTTCAAAATTCCTGCTGCATAGAAAAGTCTGTCAGATATTCTATGCCTGTAGGCGGTAGATGGATGCCCCAGTGTTGAAGATGAACGTTAGGCTACCATATATCTCTGTCATGGCACTTCCTGTTTACTCAGGTAATATTATATCCTTCTGGGGTCTTTGATGGAGTTGGAGACAGGTAGTTACAGTTACAGTTTTCCTTAGCTATGACAGAAGGTAAATTAGGTGCAAAACTTTGGACTCACCAAGATAGGATAAATAATGGAGTATTTTCTCTGAATTTGCCAAATACAAATGGACTAGATATTGTAAATATAATTCTTATCTGGTAATTGTTCTTACTGTATATAGTTTTACTATGTTAGAGTTAAAACTTTTCCTTTCTATTTAGACAAAAAGTGGGAAATGTGGGGTATTTGTACACTGTGTAAAAATGTATTGCTGTGATTGACCAATAAAGTTGAATGACCAATAGCTAGGCAGGAGGTATGGGCAGGACTTCTGGGCACAAAGAGAGGAAGTAGGAGGAGAGAATCAAGGTGCACAGAGACACCAATGAGACTTGGAGGGAGTCAGACATACAGAATGAAAGAAAGATAAAGTCATGAGGTAAACATAGTTGAACAGAAACAAATTAAGTTGTAAGAGCTAGGGGGACAAGTCTAAACTAAAGGCCCAGCTTTCATAATTAGTAAGACGTCTCCATGCCATTATTTGGGAGCTGGTTGGTGGCTCAAAGAAAATTCCAGCTTTTTCATGCATCACTGGGCACAGCACCACATACTTAGCACATATCCTACCATGTCCTCACATGACCCATGAATCTGTATGGTGGGCACTGCAGTACACAGAGCTCTCATTCCATGAGTCAGAGGTCCTAGGTGTGCTCCCCATCACAGGCACAGAGATGAGTGCTCCCCATCACAGGCACCAGAGATGAGTGCTCCCCACCACAGGCACCAGAGATGAGTGCTCCCCATCACAGGAACCACAGAGATGAGTGCTCCCTATCACAGGCACCCCAGAGATGAGTGCTCCCTATCACAAGCACCACAGAGATGAGTGCTCCCTATCACAGGCACCACAGAGAGGAGGAGTTCCCACTGTTCTGTCCACCACATCCCACACCCATAAGGTTGTCACGCTGCGTCCTCCTCTAACAGCAAAGGACACTGAGACAGTGAGGCCAAAGACCTGGTTGCTGAGCAGCAGCTGAGTGGGAAACGCAGACCTCTGGCTAGCAGGAGGCCTGAGGGCACAGGGCCTCCACTGTGTGGGCCATTGGCTCAGCGAAGGCTGCCCACATTTCTCTGGCCTGCCTGCCAGAGGTCTCCCTGACTGGATCTGCACACAGTTACTCTTCACAGGACATCCTGGGAAGGGCAGTAATGGCTCCTGGGCTTAAGAGTATTAACATATCCTCATCAGCGAGAATAAGCATGTACCCTCTCGTCCATTCACAGATGCTGGAGGAAGTTTGGTCCTCGGCTTTGGGGAGCAAATGCTGAGGGGCGGAGGTCAGGCAAGGCTCCCCACCAAATATCTTCTCATGCTCAGGTGTCCTTCATGCTATCCTTGAGATGTGGGCACCTTCTAGCTTCCTCACGTGAGGTGGGGTCATATGACTAGTTTGACCTGACAGCTGTAAATGAACTCTACACCTCTTCCTTCCGGCTCTAACAGTCAGTGCCTGCTTGAGTTCACCTGCTATCCTCTGCCATCGGGCCATCTGTGCTAACCTGGCAGGGGTCAGGCACAGCCCATGTAGACTCCTCGGATCAGAGATCAGGGGAGGAGGGAGGTGGCCCTGGAACTGGCCTTGAACGACAGGCTGGGCTTAGGAAATAAAGGGAGGTAATCCCAGAAGGTGGCGCGGGAAGAGCAGACAGGATGAATATTGTAACAAGAGGGCTGGGATGATCAGAGGCCAAAAACATAGGCACAATGGAGGACCCCAGTGCTGGGGCCACGTTCTGGAGATGGTAGAAATCTCAAGGTTTGAGAAGGACAACATAGTATCTGGGTTATATTCGCTATGGTTTCCTTGTAGCCAGCTGAGCAGGGTATATCAGGCAGAGAGACACAAAAGTGTGGCTGTTCATGGGATATGGTGGTGATGCACACGGTGATGTGGAAGAACAGGGGGAAAGATCAGGAGGCCGAGGCGAGCAGCTAAGGAGAAAAGGCCCTGGAAACATGGCTTCCCCGTGAGAACCTGCAGCTGCAGACAGTACGTAAGCCAGGAAGACGTAGGGGCCTAGGAGTCGGACTGAGAAGGGCAGATGACAATGGTGGAGCATGCCTGTGAGCACTCTGGGCATGGCAACCATGGGGGAAGTAAGGATGGAGACAGACATTGGGGCCAGACTAGGGAGCGGGGCCTTGTCTCACTATCCCTGGGATTCAAAGCTGTGGCTCATAGAGAGTTGTTAAACCAACAATATGTTTTGTTTGGCAGATTTGAAAAGTCAATCTGGGAGCCAATGTTGAAAGCCAAAAGAATTCACACCAATATGTTCACATGTTGGGCACAGGATCTGTGCAGAGATCTGGCAGGGTTGAGCCGGGGTCCCTCTTGAAGTGACTCTCAAGAGGCTGTCAAGCATTGTGGTGTAGGAACAACTGCCCTCTGTATCTAGGGCAGTTGGACACAAGCCCCATTTCGTGTCCTGCAGGCTCTCTCTACATATGCTAAGTCAGCCAGTCCTTACTGCCTTAGAGCAGGCTATTACCAGACTCTTCCAAGTGTGGGAAGACACTTACCTGTCACTCATCAAAAGTTGACCAGGGCCAGTACTTGTCCCAAAGTTCCCAGTCAAGGCAGGGACAAGGCAGACAGGACATGCATTCAGGATACCAAGCAAGCAGTAAGAATTTATACTTGTCCCCCACCAGGAGCTTGTGGGCCTCAAGGTGTGATGGGGGCCAGCAGACATTCTCAGTATCTGACCTCAACAAAGGCTCTACAGAAGCATGGGGTCTTGTCACATCAGAAAATGAACTCTCCAGGCTAGAACTCAATAGGCAAAGGCAACTCTCAGCAAGACACCGAAAGTTCTCTCTCAGAGAGATGCCAGCCTTTCTGGCCACACACTTCCGCCCTCCTCCTGGTCCTCACTCAGGCACTCACCGAGGGTCTGCTGGTTGCGGACACCACCGATCACCACGCAGATCTCGGCAGGCACATCACCAGTTCCGTCCTTGCCAGCAGCCTTCTTCTCCTCCTTGGCCTCGCCCTGCCAGACGACCTCCTGGATGTAGTCGTCTGGTAGTTCTGTTTTCACCTTCACCTCCGTCATCGTGCCCTGCTCAGCACTCAGCGAGGCCTCAGCAGGCACTGGCTCCGGGCCCTCCACCTTGGCGTTCTTCTGACTGCGCTTCAAGCGCTCCCTGGGCAAAAGAGAGAGGCCGTTCAGAGGGAATCTGCAACAGGAGCCCCACCAGTCCTTAGCACCAGACAGTCTTACAACACAGCTCTGTACTGAATGTAAACGGAGGCTCCTTGGTCGCCCTGCCAGCTCCATTTTATGTCTGAATAAGTGGAGGTCTATAGACTTCCGGGAGTACCCAGGTGACTCCTGCCATTTGTACAAGCTATGGGTCCTCATAAGTGCAGGGTCTGGTTCACGCAGCCTGGGCCAGTGCCTGAGACTCTATTTCTAACAAGTCCCAAGCCAAGCTGGGATCTGGTCTGCCAACAGCACTCTGAGCAGCGTAACCAGCATGCCAAGCATCTCACGCTGTTTCTGTTCCTTGGCAGCAGGACCTCAGATCACATCCAAGCTCTCCTCTACTCCCACTTTAGCTGGGAAAACACCAGCCTCAGGAGGCTCTTGTGGTGAGGGTGTCAGAGAGCCAACGGTTTGGCACAGGGTTGCTCTCCAAACATTCGAGAACATCCTCAAGGAACTGAGGTCAGATGGAACTGGCCGGGAAGCTGAGTGCATTCTGTAGCCGGAACAGAGCCATGACCTGCCAAGGTCTTAAAGGCAGGTGCCGGCGAACACACACAGCCAAAGCTCTGGTACCCACACCCGGGTCACCCTTTCCACATTATTCTCCATGGACTCCCAATCCTTTCAATAAGAGAACTATCCTCACGACTTCCATTTGGGAGGTGAGTAAGTCAAGGTAGGCACAGGATGAAAATCAAATCTCATTCCAGGCCTCATTCTCATTGCCTTGCTACGCCTGGTCCTTTCTTCTGCTCAGAGAAACCTAGACACAAGGCATGTTCGGGCCTGGCCACATGACAAGCTATGTGGAGCACAGTGAAGACATGACGACCTGGGAGGCAGGACTGCGACGCAATCCCAGATCCGCCTGGACCATGCTGTGCGGACCTGTAGGAGCCTGGCTCTCTGGGTCTCAGCAGCTACAGAGTTGAGTTGCAATGGTTTCATTGCACAAGTTGATTCTCCAGGTGCAGCTGTTCCCAGGGGGGCAAAAGGTGGATGCTGAGCAAAGACAGAATTCTTGAGGGCCTGCATACTAGAGAGGCACAGAGAGAGGTAACTAGGGAGCTACTCTGGACCAAACTGTGCCCCCCCACATTCACACATTAATATCCAAACCCCAAATGTGGCCCTTTCTGGAGCCGGGTGACTGCGAAGTAATTAGGGTTCAACAAGAGCCCCGTGGTGGAGCCTCGTAAGGGTGCTAGTAACTGCAAAAAAGTATTCTTGGATCAGCAGGAAGGCTTAGTCAGTAAAGATGTTTGTCATCAAGTCTGATGACCCGAGTTTCATCTCTGTGACTTACATAGTGGAGGGAGAGAACTCTTCGACCTCCACACACTTTATAATATGGCCCCCTTCCAACACCAAGATAAATAAGTTTACAAAAGTTATTCCCTCCAATGGAGGACAAACTGGTTGTCTGCAAGTTTGGTAGTGCACCCTCCCTGGAGCCTAAGCCATCGGACCCCTGACTTGGCCTCAAGTCCCTAGCCTGAAGGAATACTGGGCCTGATTAACCACCCAGGCAGCCGCTTCCACCATCCACGAAAAGCAGGGAGGGGCAGCTGCTACTTCCCTGCTGGCCACCGCACCCTGAAGCCTGGCTCTGCCATCGGCAAGCACAGCTAACAGGCTTGCCACGTGAGCACACAGAAAACACTTGGCAGAGTACTTGGGCCTGTTACTACATCATGGTGAAGCTGTCTGCCAGGAGACCGCACCAGAGCTGAACTCATGCTGGCTCTTGCACTTCACGAGCGTTGGCTGAATAAACTTCTGTTCTCTAGGAACTGCTCAGCCCCAAGTGTTTCATTGCAGCAACAGAAGAGGCATGGACGGTGGGGAATCCAACCCACGAGTCTCCAAACCCCAACTCCACCACTGCTGAGAACCAGGAGCGAGACCCCGAGCTGTTTGCGAGACAGAAATGAACATACTGGCTACTGGAAGGCAGCCATGAGCCACCTTCAGGTAGGAAGGGAGCTGTCGAAGGCCTAGCCAAGGCCTGATCTCTCCAAGGTTTGCTGAACTCAGAAATAGGACAAAAAGGAACACTACCATCTCCCCCCAGCTTGCCCCACCATCTTCTTGCTTCACCCCCCACCCCACCCCCGTCACCACAGACTCCACGTCCTCACTAGCTGCAGGCCACCCTGTAGAACTCTAATCTGCTTTCCCAACACTGTGCAACGCTGGTCAAAAAGCTCTCCCTGAGCCTTCCTTTCCATGTCTCTTACGTGAGGATCCTTGCTGGACACAAGGATGCGTGGGGACATGCAGAAGCCTGAAGTAGATGCCCATACAAATTTCAAATCGTAGTTATCACCATGACGACACTGGCTTATGATGTCATTTTCCCACCATGCAGCCCTCCCAGCACGACTGAGCCACAATGCCTCACAGAAGTCATTTCCTTCCCACAGGTGACTCTCACAGCATTTGGGCATGCTTATGAATTCTCTTTGGCACAGCTGTCCCCTTTCTGACTTCACTGCCCAGCCTCTCATCACCGCCTTATTCTATTATCTTCATAGCCCTGGCTGCTATCTGAAAGTGTCTTGTCCATTAATATCTCATCTAATTGTACACCCCCTAAGAGTTGTTGGTATAATACTGTATCTCCAGCATACAGGAGGCATACAGTAGGTGCTCCATAAATGCTCTACTGTAACACCATATCTCCAGCATACAGGAGGCATACAGTAGATGCTCCATAAATGCTCTACTGTAACACTGTATCTCCAGTATACAGGAGGCATACAGTAGATGCTCCATAAATGCTCTACTGTAACACTGTATCTCCAGCATACTGCAGACATACAGCAAACGCTTCATCAATCCTCTACTGCAGCACTGCATCTCTAGCATATGGCAGGTGTACAGTAGATGCTCCATAAATGCTGTACATGCTTAATGACAAAGCCATACCTCCTGGATAAACAGGCACTGGGACTTCTGGGACAGCAGATGGATCCGTGCCTACGGTAGCCATACCCACCTGCATCAGGCCTGGGTGGAGTATACTACAGGGAGACACAGGGCAAGGCACCAACTGAGGACCTAAGGCCACATCTGCTGACCCCTGGAACCTCCAGTAGGGACACCAGGGTTCCAGAGTGAGGAACGACTTCCTCCCAAGGACAGGTAGACCCACCCCACCCCACAGCCCCCTCCCTGCCCCCACCACATTCTAAATCAGTAAGCCTTGCTCTGGAAACCCAGCTGATGCAGCCTGTGGATGGGGTCACAGGAACCACTCCCTGGCATGGCACAGAGCCACCGGCTCCCCTTCCATAAAGGCTCCTGGTGCTAAGGACACAGGCAGCTCCCATCTCTTCCCCGACTTCTGCACCGAGATTTACAAGCCCAAACCTCTCTTTTCCTCAGCTGCTCCGCATTTAATTAGGTGTCCTAATAACAACGGCATCACACAAGTACTTAGATCACTTTGAATTAGTGGTGCAGTTCCTTCCAACTTCTTAAATTTTTTTTTCATATATCATTTTTTAAAATAGAGCTCATTATTTTAATTATATCCATTTAAATGTACAGTGGAGCCCTTGAATATTCTCAGCACGAATCATTAGGTATATTAGTGGAAAAGCACTCAGAATCTATCTACATGCTGACACTCCATAATCTATTCTATTTGTGTCGCTGTAAAATAGATTTATATATAGATAACTACAAAATAGTTGCTCAAGATATGCTGTGAATTTTATATTTAACCTAGTCACACTTCAACATAAAATCCAAAGACGGGCACTAGAAGGGTATTTCTCAGTAAGTACCTGTTATCCCTGATCATTGCTTACTGCAAGTGCAGACGCCTGGAGAGAGGTCAGACCAAACGAGTCCCCTGTCCGAGCAGGTGCTGAAAGCTCCTGCCCGTCTCTTGGGCAACGTGTCTTCAAGTGTGTTCCTCAAGGTTGCAAAGGCTCACAGGTACCCAGGAGGCTGGGATGGGGAGGACAGCACCCCGTTTCCTCAATTTTTAATAGCCACAGCTTTGTTTTGTTGCCTGACGTACAGATATTCGAGTTTCTGCTTTGTAGTGGGGTGACTGGAGCGTGCTGGGGGGTGCTAGCAAGACGCTAACAGTCAGTCTTCTAGCTCCCTCTCCGCTTTCCTTTTCCTTCAGGGTCTCTCGCTGAACCCAGAGCTCATGGAACCATTAGCCGCCTGGCTCTCCAGTTGGCTCTGCGGGGGCTCCAGGCCTGCCACCACACCCATCTGACTTTGTGTGAGTGCCTGAGACGTGAACCCCGGTCCTTGTGCCGTATGGGAGGCATTTTATCCACTGAGCCATCTCCGCAACCCTAATGTGAGCTTCTTTAAAAAACAAAACCCTCCAGATGTTTGCAGACATAAGTATGTTGGAAGTGAACTCACCCTATAGCCAGCAGACATAAGTATGTTGGAAGTGAACTCACCCTATAGCCAGCAGCAAATGTTGCTAAGAGCACAGGTAAGGCCCCAGAGAAATGGAGGAAGCTATGTGACATCCAGGTAGACGTGGCCATAAATCAAGGAACAATGACACTTGCTGGAAGCAGGAGGAAACATTATCCTCCTAAGGCCTCTAGCGTTGAGTGCTAATCTGCTGGTCCACTCATTTCTGACTTCCGACTCAAGATTTTTAAGGAATAAACCTCTGTTGTTCTAAGCTACCCAATTTGAGGTGCAACAAGCCCTTTGTCTCTTTAAGGGGCATATTCCCCTACTATACGCTTGAAGCTGGGACTGTGTTGACGCTTTTCCTATGTTCCCTACAGTTTTACCTCAGAGCACCAAAGGCACTTGTCCTTCCACTGTGCCTGTACTAGGGGCTCCTTTGCGTTTTGAAAACATTATTAAGTGGCATTGGGGCCACTTAAACACAAGCTGAGACAGAGGAGATGCTCACGGAGATGCACACTAGTGAGAAGGAGC